CTTGGTCCATGATGTTCACATCACTTGGTCCATGATGTTCACATCACTTTGTCCATAATGTTTACATCACTTGGTCCATATTGATCCAAAATGTTCACATCACTTTGTCAAAATGTTCACATCACTTGGTCCATATTGATCCAAAATGTTCACATCACTTTGTCCAAAATGTTCACATCACTTGGTCCATATTGATCCAAATGTTCACATCACTTTGTCCAAAATGTTCACCCATATTGATCCAAATGTTCACATCACTTTTGTCCATAATGTTTACATCACTTGGTCCAAATGGTCCGTAAAGTTCACATCACTTGGTCCATAAACTTCACATCACTTGGTCCATAATCTTCACATCACTTGGTCCATAATGGACCATAAACTTCCCACTTTGTCCATAATACCGTGGATCCAGAATACTTGTAACAAATGACCTGCGACATAGCTCCAGTCTCTATCTCACTGACTCCATGACGTCATTGACATACACCAGTAATCCAACATGAAGCTCAGCTCAAACATCTCATCTGACATAAAACTCTCCCCTGTCTATCCCCACTCCCTGTTGCCAGTAGCAACGGTGCCCCAACCCCTGATTCTTTCCCACCCTAACAGAGACTCCCATCCCACTGTTTTACACATTAAAACAATCAAAGTTTTGAAAACATGCCACAAACATTATACGTTACTAGTTTTTCTTATTCCTATCTTAGCAAGGTATTATTACAAAATCTGTGCGAAGAAAATTACAGAACTTAAAATAAATGCAAATGAAATTTTTGTGTTTTTAAATCTCGACTAAGGAAAATGTGAACATGATACCCTTGTAAAAAGGCCATCACAGTTAGACAAACTCTCAAAGTTTTTCCAAACATTCCTGGCAGTAAGCATTTCTCAAGACCTGGACAACGTTTGTGTAATATTTCCTGAGGCTCTGTGATGTGATAACGTGTGATAACACATGAGTGATGTTCATAGCAGATGTCAGTTTCAGCCAATGACAGACAGGCTTGGCATGTCAACGCTGAATAATACTGTTACCACATGGCTTCACTTCAACAAAGAATTCAGCTACATTTCAAGAGGGAGAGTGGTGCTCCTTTCAAACGATGAACACTACAAGTCAAAACTTATTGTTCTTGGTAACATTTCAATAAAGATGAAATATTATTCTGAGTTTTTCAAAGAACTCACAACCAATTCCCCTGAAGTTGCATATTTAATCCAATAACATTTCATTTGAATTCAAAGTTACTTTGGCACTGAATTTGGCATAACTGGGTCAAATGTCGTGTCAAACAGGAATAATAGTCTTTGAGTTTCATGCCAAATAGAAGTGTATGTCATGGCCATCTTTAAATGTTCAGGGCAAAGTAAATGCTATTGTTACCATGGTTACAAATATCTTATTTTTTTGAGAATTGAATCATCATCATCATCATCAACATCAACAACAATATCATCATCATGAGTTTGAAATTGAATCTGAATATTGTCACTTCAAAGGATAAAAATCAGTCGCTTAAAAAACATAATCGCCAATAGAAGCGCCCTGCTCAAATGATTAAAAGTGCTGTATCTGATGTATAATATAACAATTATACTCCATCAGATGGCGTGACAAAAGCTTTAGTGCTACTCACTGAAAATTAAGTTAAGAGAATGGGTGAGTTTAGTTTTACACTTCTAGCAATATTCCAGCAATATCATGGCAGGGGACACCAAAACTGGGCTTCACACATTGTACCCATGTGGGGAATTGAACCCAGGTCTTCAGCGAGGGAACGTTTTTAGGCACTAAGCTACCCCACCGCCCCTAAATTAAGTTAGAAAGGCCAGGGTCGGGGGATTAAGATAAGGGTCATTTAGTGACCAGAAACAAATAAATTTTAGCATGCCTAACAAAATATGACAAAATCTATTAATAATCAAAGATTGACTATAAACATTAAAGGACATTGCTGATACAATCCATCACGGTCGTAAAGTTTGACCTGATAAAATGACCCATCAGTTAATCATACTGATATTAAACTGATCAAAATCAATTCAATTAAAAGACAAGTTGATGCCATCTGACAATTTATGGAAGCTACGAAACTGTCGAGCATGGCCAAACTGACCATTAAACAGAAAACAAAGGCCATAAAACGGGTGTGCTTTTCACAGGGTGGTCTCGCGCCATAAATTCACAGGCTGATATTTATTGCGAAATTAACAAGGGGCAAAACAGCTGACTAGAGAGCAATGTACAGCTTTAAACTCAATAGCATGGTGTCATTACAAACATCATTAATTAAGTCCATTTTGCTCCTGACAAAAGATTGGAAAGAAAATGAAAACCCAATAGCTGTTCCCTGAGGTGAACTTACCCATAAATTGACATGTCCACAAGGAGTAATTGCTCTACGGGTCGTAAATTTCAGATATAGTCTGTGACAAGTATGTCAGTTAATTCAAATATGACTGGTCTTGTTTTATACAATGCCTTAGCATTTCATAGCGATGTGATGTAGACATTTTAAAACCATGATAGCAAATATACTGAAATAAAACCAGCAAGTCAATTTCTAAAGCGTATATTGATCGAACTTATATTCTGATAAGTCTTGCCGAGGAGCACAAGCTATTTTTAGACCGGTTCCATTTGTCAGCGTGTTGAGGTAACATGACATGATTGGTTAGAAGGTTTTGATGTAAGTCTGGCGAAAGATGATTTGTGACTTCAATGATGAAATGTATTATAAATTCATTGTCAATCAAACTTAATCTCTATATCCAGATTCATAAATCAAACAATATCTCTATATTATATGACACAATGGCATATTCATAAATAATAAAACTAACAATTACCGTAAATAAACCAAAATTAGCATCTCAGTATTGTTCACAGAATATGAAATTGACAATTTTAACTATTCAAATAAAATCAGTTCTAGTCAATCACCGAAAAAACACTGGTGATTTTAGAAAAAATACAAAAGACTAAAACTAACAATTACCATAAATATACCAAAATTGGCACTTTCAGTTTTGTTCCCACAACAAAAAATTGACAACTTGAACTATTCAAATAAAATCAATTCTCATCAATCACTGAAAAACACACTGGTAATTTTTTCTTCCCACAAAAGACTGTGATACTGTTCTTTGATAAGATTGAGACAACCTTACTGGTTGAGAATATTGATTTATTAAAATTTGATGAGTGATATAATGTGAATATTAGATCATAACAAAAAGCTAACAATACAATCACCAAGCAATTACCGCAACGCAAACAGTACACACACGTTAATCACAATATCAATTTTCGGTTTAGCGCAGAAGTCACCGACTCGTCTCCGCAATGCAACATCTTCAGAGTCTAATCAATACGAATCTCTCTTATGTTGCAAATATTTTTTGCCAATCAATCGAGAAAACAAATATTGTGTCCATTATGCTTAACACGAAAAATGCATGAACTTGCTTAAACCAGATTCCAGTCTTTTGGTCAACTAAATCATCTCAACAAATAATAAGATGCATTTTAAAAATATTTATCTCATAATGAAATGGATTGTCAAACAAGCGAGTGGCTATCTTAATGCTGTTCCAACACAATAGGATGCTTACAACCAAAGGAATAACAGCAAAAACCGCAATGAAGAATTAAATCACTCCCGAACCAAAGTATTTGCTCCAAAGAATCTTAATTATCAAGACACACCAGATATACCTTACTCCTGGGAATGAAAGAATATGAATATTCCCTCATGTCAATGTGACCTGAGATTTATTCCTCGCTTCCAGCTCTTTCCTAAGCTTACACGATAAAAATGTCAACCTGTAATTGTTAGCTGTACGAACTTAACACCAATGTTCACACAGCTGCGAGAATTTGCTGTAACCAACACCAAACCATATTTGCATATACATATCAGTCTCATAAATATGTTATTCCCAACACTGACTATAAATAATTGTAGCCATAAGTGTCACTGTTAGTTTTACCCTGTTGACCAGGGTATCACATTTAACGTAGCACATAGTCTGGTTACATATTTAAACACTGTTCGCCCTTACACTGCCATCCTTTCAAATATGCACATACCACAGCCTTTGTTTGTTACACATATTTATATACTTCAAATCTTCTTTGTCTGCTAGGTAGAGCACAATGAATCTTATCAACGAGATAAACTGATTAATTACGTCATGTTGGATCTACTTAGTATACTGTCCCAAGGCAAGGGTGATAATTACGTGCATTGTCCTTGACCACGAGCATGTTAATTGTGAAGTGTTGGGCATTAATTCTGTCTAAAACTAGCTCAGACGTTAACATTTTATCGTTACATTGTATTATTTGGGGAAAATATTGTTAAATTGTTGAGATGGAATAAATATGCATATCGCGCGGATGATAATGTGTTCAAATGTAAGCACTTTGAAATAACTCCGTGGAAAGTAACGTCATGATGTATGCTTCGGAAGTACCTTGTCTTTTCAAATGTAATTTATATACAAAATCGTGAATATTTTTTTCTTCTTCGTCGTTCCTTGGTTCTCGACACAAAACGTCACCGTCGCCAAACAAGGGGATTCGTTGATCAATTCAAACTCTTTTTGACAAGTTGAAAAGTTGACCCCTTTAAAACATAAACACCCCGTTTTTCTTTCTTGGGAACATTGTGTCGCCTATCTCCCGCTCGCAAGACAATATGTGGCATTGGACAGACCTATGAACAAGTCTGACAGCCGAAACCGTGGACCTTATTTCTTCTAAGCGGTCCGTGTTGTCAATTTCGGTCGACATGAACAAACAATAGCAAACGGGACATATTCGACCGGGGGGTACTTTTGGGATTGGACTTGAAATTTCGTCAAACTTGCGAATACAAGTACAAAAGCTGTGAAACTTGTAATAGCGCCACGATTGGAACTTTATGTACGTGTTACACCCTTGGGTTCAAAATGCAAAACATGGGAAAAGTTAGAAAGTAAACACTTACCAACTAACGAAAGGGCCGTTTGTAGACTCAAGTAAATCCCCATCCACGACGAAACGCTGGTCAGTTTATCAGCTATGCAGTTCGCCATTTTGCGCTACCCTTGCAATCCACGTAACCGCTTAGTCCTGTTGTAGTTTAATATCCACATATGTACAATTTCACGTGCATATATCCTCTCAAAACACACAAACAAACGACGGGAATGGTGCTACATCGTTCCTTCGCTCAGGCAACATCGCCATGCAATGCTTTGAATAGAGGTTGGGTCAGTATTCCCATATAAGGAAAGGTCACAGGTCAGGGTTCAACGCGGCCTCCATTATTTGTAAAGGTCGGTGGTTATTTTTAGCGCAGAGCAATTTGCATACGGTAAACACTCGCTAGAGGGCGCTCACAGCCGGGAACATGCGCCGCTGTCTGCTAGCTGTCAATCATCGGGAGACAATGAAAGAGAGGCTGGGAGTCTTGATTTTTATTGTGAAGATGTCCAATTTAAGAATTGTGCATGATTGCGTGGAAACAACGAGGGCTTTGTGATACAGGCGTCTGCTGTTACGGTATCGGTGTAGTCTGTCTGTCAAGCGACTCCTCGCCTCCTGAATTACGAGAGTTGTATTTTCTCGTGACAGCGTTTTCTAACGGATGCACGTCAATGTATATTGCAGCCTCCGACATATGTACATTGCGACCACGCACTGCCTGTGTTATCTGTAACGATATTATCTGGATCCACGCATTGTTGGTCCTATATCCTGACATTGGCTCTTCATACCTAGCAATGTTGCGTGTGCGTTTGAGCTCGTCAAGTCAAGGAAGCTTTTACTATCGTGATGTTTTTCTTCTTACCATCACCATCATCATCATCATCGTCGTCGTCATAAGCATCATCATCATCAGGAATATCAATTATATCCCCGTTCTTACCGCCATCATTATATCATTATAATTAATATATTCATCATCAATAATATCATTGTCAGCAATCATATCATCATCATCATCGACGACGTCGTCGTCGTCGTCATAAGCATCATCATCACCGTCATCTTCATCATCAGGAATATCAATTATATCACCATTCTCTTTGCCATCATTATCAGTATAATTAATATAGTCATCAATAATATCATTGTCGGTATCATCATCGTCGTCGTCATCGGTTTATATTGATCTGTGATAGTGTCAGAAATATAATCGTAAGTTTCAGTCCTGGTGTCATCAGCAGTATCGAAGTCATGTAACATCATCATCATAACAATCATATATTATATCAGTAATATCATAATCGTCAGTATCATCATCATAACAATCATATATTATATCAGTAATATCATAATCGTCAGTATCATCATCATAATCATCATCAGTATATCATCGTCGGTATCATCATCATAAGAATCATATATTATATCAGTAATATCATAATCGTCAGTATCATCATCATAAGAATCATATATTATATCAGTAATATCATAATCGTCAGTATCATCATCATAAGAATCATATATTATATCAGTGATATCATAATCGTCAGTATCATCATCATAAGAATCATATATTATATCAGTAATATCATAATCGTCAGTATCATCATCATAAGAATCATATATTATATCAGTAATATCATAATCGTCAGTATCATCATCATAAGAATCATATATTATATCAGTAATATCATAATCGTCAGTATCATCATCATAAGAATCATATATTATATCAGTAATATCATAATCGTCAGTATCATCATCATAAGAATCATATATTATATCAGTAATATCATAATCGTCAGTATCATCATCATAAGAATCATATATTATATCAGTAATATCATAATCGTCAGTATCATCATCATAAGAATCATATATTATATCAGTAATATCATAATCGTCAGTATCATCATCATAAGAATCATATATTATATCAGTAATATCATAATCGTCAGTATCATCATCATAAGAATCATATATTATATCAGTAATATCATAATCGTCAGTATCATCATCATAAGAATCATATATTATATCAGTAATATCATAATCGTCAGTATCATCATCATAAGAATCATATATTATATCAGTAATATCATAATCGTCAGTATCATCATCATAAGAATCATATATTATATCATAATCGTAATATCATCATCATAAGAATCATCATATATTATATCAGTAATATCATAATCGTCAGTATCATCATCATAAGAATCATATATAATATCAGTAATATCATAATCGTCAGTATCATCATCATAAGAATCATATATTATATCAGTAATATCATAATCGTCAGTATCATCATCATAAGAATCATATATTATATCAGTAATATCATAATCGTCAGTATCATCATCATAAGAATCATATATTATATCAGTAATATCATAATCGTCAGTATCATCATCATAAGAATCATATATTATATCAGTAATATCATAATCGTCAGTATCATCATCATAAGAATCATATATTATATCAGTAATATCATAATCGTCAGTATCATCATCATAAGAATCATATATTATATCAGTAATATCATAATCGTCAGTATCATCATCATAAGAATCATATATTATATCATAATATCATAATCGTCAGTATCATCATCATAAGAATCATATATTATATCAGTAATATCATAATCGTCAGTATCATCATCATAAGAATCATATATTATATCAGTAATATCATAATCGTCAGTATCATCATCATAAGAATCATATATTATATCAGTAATATCATAATCGTCAGTATCATCATCATCATATGCATACATAATATCAGTGATATCATAATCACCAGTATTATTATCATTATCGTCATAACAATGATATATATATTATATCAGTAATATCATAATCGTCTGTATCATCATCATCATATGCATACATAATATCAGTGATATCATAATCACCAGTATTATTATCATTATCGTCATATTATATATTGTATCAGTAATATCATAATCTTCATCATCATAATCGTCATCATGACAATCATGTTATATCAACATCATCATCGTCAGTCTTAAAATAATAATCATCACCATCATCACCATCACAAAGCCCTCACATATATATATATATTTAATCAGTAATATGATAATCGTCAGTCATACCATCATCATCATCATCATCATCATCGTCGTCGTCGTCAGTATCTGTAAATCTGTATATTAATGATCACACTGTTAGTTATATTATTGTACCGGCTGTTGTTGTTGCTGTTGTTCCCTGTCAGGTAGACTTGACAGTTTGGGTCAGCAAACCTACAGCCTCCATCTCAACACCTGTATTAATGAGGTCCGTGGACGTATTCATGTCGTCGTGTTCAGGAGGACCGATGAACAAATTCGTTCTGCTAGCCCCAGGCAGTGTCTATAGCTTCTGTCACTTCAGCTGAATTGCACTTTCATACACCCTCAAGGATGCTTTGACATTGAAAGGGATTATTTCATTCAACCATTGAAAGTGAAGTATTCAGCCCAGTCGGTGTAATTAATGTTAGCCCAAAGGCTAGTGCGCTGTCTCGTGTCAAAGAATACCCAGTTCGAGTCCCGCATTGAAACAAAGTGCTAAAGGGAGCTATCGACTGCATTTAAGGGCTGGACGACTTAAATTGACACGTGACCTAAATCCAAGTCCCGCACACGCAAACCACCATACAACTACCAGTCAGGGTTTGTGTGGAGAGTGAGTGAGTGAGTTGGGTTTTACGCCGCTTTTAGCAAGGGTAGCCTTGTGGTTAAAAGCGTTTTCACGTCACGCTGAAGACCCGGGTTCGATTCCCCACATGGGTACAATGTGTGAAGCCGATTTCTGGTGTCCCCGGCTGTAATATTGCTGGAATATTGCTAAAAGCGACGTAAAATTAAACTCACTCGCTCACTGTGTGTAGGAAAACACGACGATGATTAAAATAACATGAATATTTAATGTTGTTTTGAGTAACAACCAGTGCTTTGACGGAGGGCTCGATGAATACCTTTAACATCAGTTGTTGACGTGTCCAGAGATAAAAAGGAAATGAATCGATCGTAAACAAGATTTGCCATGCACGTGCACATCACAATGTCACAACCAGCTTCATATTTATACATAATGTTGTATCTAGCCATCAGATGATTAATTGCTATGATAATTATAATTAAATCATATGTGGCATATAAACATGTTAATTATCCTAGTTACCAAATCCAACTCTCATTTCCTATTAAACAATTTGTATATCTATATATTTCGTGCGTCCGGAAACCGCAATATTCCATGCATTGGATTTAATGAACAATAAATATGATGTTTAGGTTCAGGTTGGCATATGGTCTGTATTCAATATTACACTGTACTCGGGGAACCTCATAAAGTTTCCTAATTTAAATATAATTATACCAAGGAGCAGTCCTATTGCCGTCTTCTATCTGCTTTATTAACTCAATTACTGCAGCGTTGAAATATACTCCACGACTGTCCGTCTCAGTGGGCGATGCCATTCCTATGAAGGGGGTGTCAGCATACTTGATGTGAGCTCATCCCAGCACGAAGGGACGAACATTGCGATTGAGTGAGTATGGTTTTACGCCGCACTTAGCAGCAATTCTGTGGCAGAGGATTGATTGATTGTTGTTTAACGCCGCACTCAGCAATATTCCAGTTATATGGCGGCGGTCTGTAAATAATCGAATCTGGACCAGACAATCCAGTGATCAACAGCGATCTACGCAATTAGGATACGATGACATGTGTCAACCACGTCAGCGAGTCTGACCACCCGATCCCGTTATAGTCGCTTCTTACGACAAGTATGGGTTACTGAAGATCAATTCTAACCCGGATCTTCACGGGTTGTCCGGTAGCGATCGAGCTTGATTTGTCTGGGGTTTTTTTCTGTGTGTACGCATGTCTAGGAATCATCCCTCAAATACCATCCTGTCCTTGTCAACTTATAGTCTGTTTGCAGTGAAAACGTACCGATGAATTTCACTTTAAACAAAACAGTAAATCAAATAACGTGAAATTAAGATTGCCAATTACACATTTAAATCTCAGAATTTTATTGAACCTAGGATAAAAGTTGTTTAACAAACGATCATAAATTCGAATCGCTATTATTGGGTTGTATTACAAGGGGATAAGCGCAGTAGTTGGAACAGTGAAAAAACGGCACGGGCGGGACGTGATGAGCGTTAACTTAGACCAGCCCTACTTGTTCTCGGTGTTTCATTTAATGTGCATACCCCCTGTAATACAAACCA